ACGGTGTCACTGGGAGTCAGGAAGCAGCCTGAGTGCTGCTGATTAAACAGGAGGAAGAATCTGAGCTGTTGGACTCTGAGACCAGAAGCTCTAAACTTCCCGTCTGTTAAAGGCTGATCACAGCGAGCTCACACTGATTTGGATATTTACCTCTTTCTTTCTTTCTTTCTTTCTTTCTCTCTATTTACATGTTGTCACAAATAGATCTTTCACATCATCAAATAAAATACAACATGTGTTTTTTAAGTAATAATTTCACTGAATGACTCCAATGTGAACTCATGTTTTGAAAGCTGAGCTCAGTTTTCACGTCCACACTCAGACGTGACTCCTGCAGCGAGGCCGGGTCCATCCTCAGCTCGGTTTTTATTAAATAAAACCTTAACTCATTAATTACATTTTACTTTTCATTCTCTTTTTGCTTGAGAGAAAGTCAGCTTTAATGTCAACACGTGAACAGTGATATCCTCACTTTCCACACGCAGCACAGCTGATGAGAAGAAGCTGCTCAGCATGGAAACACAGCCACAGTCCTCTCAGCTGTGATTTTTAAATCACACAAAGACTAACACACTCTGGCTAACAATCCCAGTTTGTTCTTGGGAGGAAGACGGCTTTGTCGTCAGGAAGGGTGCACGGTGTAAAAGCTGCCAAATCAAACCCGAGGAGTGACCTGCTGATATCAGGGAGCAGCTGACTGAAGCCTTTAAAGCCACAGAAACGTCAGGAAATGCAGCTCCAAGTCCCAGCTTTGACAAACAGCACAGTGATGTGGACCAGCAGGAACCAGAACCAGATTAAAACCAGTTTGTACGAGTTCCAGATGTGATCACACCTGTTAATAACACAGAAGCGTTGGAGGCGGGGCCTGAATCAATGTCTGCGTCATCATTTATGAACATTTAAACCGCTCATTCGACTTCCTGCACCTGTCTCTTATTTTTTTCCTTTAACAGCAACACTCCTTTTTTTCCAGCGTATATCTCTTCATTCATGTTCACGTACTTAAAGCATCTGATCCTGGTGTCCATCATCCATCTGTGTTTTATCTGAATTCTGCCTGTTTCAGACCAGATACCATCTTTGTTTGTTCGACTTTAACAGTCATGTAGATCAGGAGCTCCAGGCCTCAACAGCCAGAGTCTTTCTCTGTTTCTGATCTGAGTGTGTGCAGGATCACAACATTTATTTATTTCCACCTTCCAGCAGGAAGGAAAACTCCTCCATCCGTGCGGTGTGCCCGTTCGGCTGCATCATGGCAGCAGACGTGATGACGACCTGCTGAAGTCTAAACTGAGCAGGATGGAGAAGAACGGTGATTTAAATAACTTGAAGGAGTCTTTCAGAAACTGCTGACCTGCTGGGATTTTCCCACCTACTGGTTATAAGCCTATTCCAGCTGTGAGAGGCAGGCTGAACCTGGACAGGTCGCCAGTTTGTCGCAGGGCTGATCATGACTTCTCTGTACTACAGTGGCCTCCATAGCCACCAGATTTCAATCAGCAGAGCCCCTCTGGGATGTGTTGGATACAGCCGACATGTGTGCAGCAACTGTGACGGCATCACGACTAAGGTGTTTGCAGGAACTTCTTAAATTGGTGCCATGAACATGAGGAGAGAAGGTCAAACTGTGCTGGCGAATTGTACCTAATAAAGTGGCCATTGAGTGTCTAATAATTCGATTACAGCGTGTCACCAAGAGGTGGCGCTCTCTTCACTAAACTTTGACTTGTACAGCGTGCTGACAGCATTTCATGCAGAAATATTTTCTTCTGTATTGAATGTTGCTGAAAATGTAAAATAAATGGATAAACATTTTAATAATGGATTGAATTTATACGCCGCTTCTTTTTTTTTTTCGAGACCCTCAAAGCGCTTTACAATGCCACGATTCATTCACACACTGGTGGAGGAGGCTACAGTTGTAGCCACAGCTGCCCTGGGGCAGACTGACAGAGGCGAGGCCGCCATATCGCGCCATTGGCGGTAGGTGAAGAGTCCAAGACCAAGACTGTCCGAGCCGGGGCTCGAACCAGGGCTCGAACCGGCAACCTTCCGATCACAAGACGAGCTGCCAACTCTTGAGCCACGATCGTTTTGACCTGTAGATCACCAAAACTTTCAACCAATAATTAGAATCTAGTTCAATAAATAAATAAGTTCATTAATAATAAGAATAATGTTCCCCATGTTGCGGCTATCCATCCACATCCACTCACCTTCTGGGCTCTGCTGAAGCTGCTGCCTCTCTTCCCCTCTGTTCCTCCCACTCCTGAACAACATTTGTGGGAGTGCATGTGCGGCTCCTGCAGCCACTGCTCCATGCTGTGTGCGAGCCACCATTTAGGGCGACCTTAATTCATGGAGCTTTACACACAGACTTTTGGTTGATGAGGTTTTTGGGAGAAAAACTGTGGAAAACCGGAGAGCTGTTGGTCTGCTGTGACACTCTGTATTTTTGCTTTGACTAAGCAAGTGTTTTCTTTCTGGTAAGAGTGGGCGGTACCTGCTCCCCTTTACTGTGCTGCCTTTTATGTTGATGTACATTACTCATTTCCTGCTAAAGGGTTTGGTCTCATTGTAGCAAATTACATTAAAAGGTATATCGAGTCTTATAGTTGTACATAGTCCTTCTTCACAGAGAGCTTCCTGAGCGTGCTCACTGGATCCCAGACCGGTAAAGTAGAGAAGGAGGAAACTTGGTGACTCCATCTTCGTATTCTAACAGAGGATAAACTTCCCCGGTTAGCCGGTCACATCCAAAGTAATGGATTGAAGGGTTTAACCTGATCACTGGGTGTATGTAAACCCGTCAGTAATAGGTGGGGATTCGCAGCATTTCCTGCATATAAATGTGCAGTCTGAAGGAAAGGAGCACAGTTTTGATGCAAAGCAACTTTCCAGGTTAGTAGCATTGATCGAACACAAGTCACTGCACGCACAATGTGTGCAGAGAGCCAATGAGAACACAGAACTGAGACCATGGGATACATCATCAGCAATGATAAAGCTTCTATGATTTATAATATATATATATTTATGTTTTATTTATATATAAAACACATTTATATACGTACACATATTGATATTTGTCTGTGACCAATGAACACAGCTCAGGAGAAATGCCCCTGTGTTTGAAACCGAAGCTCTGATGTGTCTGTAGTAGACACCATGTTGGAGCGTGAGGCTGTTCACACGTGCGAACCGCAGCAACAGTCATCGTGATCACAACTTTACATCTGTGTGAAGGCTGCAGGCAGCTGTGGTGCTGAGCCTG